CACTATGCTGGCTGGTATCTGAGACGCTAGAATCACACACCTGTACCTACCCCACGTGAAGCGGCTCTAACAAAGCATGATGACGTCATAATGTTTATCAATTGGCACAATGACGTCATATGGCAAGAGGCATAAGCCATGGTGTTTTTGTTCTGGAAATAGAACACTTGGTAAATGTGAAAAATATAAATCGTTTTAATGCAAAAAATATGTTAATTAATTGTGATATTTTTATATTTTTGTCTATGACACTACTAGGTTAACACTTTTAATGTGGAAAAAGTACACGAAAAATAGGTTCATTTCCTTGTGAACTTGCCCTTTAAACCAACCCCAAAATTTTGGCCAGCTGTGACGAGTCCACGGCCTCCACGCACGATGTGTACAGCCGATAGGTAGGGCATCCTTAACACCTTCGTATATACATTGTGCCTTCACTGGAACGTCCGGGTTATTCGTGAGTGAAAGTTCTCTTTTCCAAGTGATTAGAACCCCACTGTACATGTGTGTGATCGTGGGCGATGGTGTGACCTTGTGGTTTTAACGTTCACTCATGATCATCACGCCGATGCCCCGGTTTCGATTCCTCACGTACAATGTGTGAAACCCCTTTCTGAGCAATATACCCAACAGATACCGGAGAAGAGAAACCTCTACATTCTCAACCACAAGATCACTAAAAGTGACACGATACTATAAATGTAAAATGATGCCAAGTAATACGCACATAGCTGTACAACAGGCTAGGTTTACGATTCACCGCCTGTCTAGAAAGACAGAATGTACACAATCGTGCATGCATATCGACCAGACCATTTGTAAATTGCCTCCTGACAACTGATAATTTGTGTACTCCCAGAACGGTTTTGTCGACAAATGATTCATCGCAATCCATGGACCACCACATTGACCATGATTATCAGATTTTGTCGTCAATTATTTTGTATTCCTTGAGGGTTATATTGTCACGATTTAGCAAGAGGATACGGGAGGTGAGCCATGCTACTCAGGACACCAGTGCAAATAAGGGAATGGTTGAGTCTGGTCAGCTGAAATCACACTTGTCCTATTTAGTTAGCCACTGATCAAATCTTCGATCAGCATCCCCCGAGTACTCTAAGAGTGTTTGTCGCTTTTCTCTGTGTCTTAGATATATCAAAGACCCGAACATCACCTAGGAAATTGGAACTGAAATACAGGAAGGGTGCAGGAAAGAGTGAGTCGTGTTTAAAATAACTAAGTATCAGGTTGTAATGGATTTAACATGGCATTGTCCCATCCAATCGCAGTATCCGTTTCAATCATGATGTTAGTTTGTAGTGTTATACAACTTACAAAAGTACTCTCCAAAAGAAGTAGGGCTTCGTGAAACATAAATGTTATGATCTGCCGTCAGAAGAAAGACCAGCGTTGAAAAAGAACTGCTAGAGATCCTCCCGTGCACGTGGGTAGAGTCATTTTTGACTTGCCACCAGTGGGGCAGGATACGCTCACCTTTTCGCGGACACCTTGTATCACCACTTTTAGATAGTGATTCATAAACACATGCTCATGATATAGTCGGTATTGTACAATCGAGATTTCTTACGAAAGTATAAAGGGTATTGTTCCAAGTATTCATTTGACAGCTCTGTGAAAGGTCGCTCTGACTGGAGAGATGACTTACAAAAATTTAACTTATTTTCATGATCAAATGGTTCATTCGTTATACCTACACAGGTAAATATCCTAGTTTGTATCTGCGACGATCAAGTCATCTCAAACGTTCATATCTTTACTACACTCTCCCTTCTTACCCCTACACCCTTACAATACTAGACAACATGATCTGTTGATGGTCATGTTACACCTAGTCCTTACTCTTTCTTATCCATCCATTACATCACTCGATACCTCTGTACTCATCTGTTATTATCTCATTTCCTTTACGTAATTGGAGGAGTTTACAATGTAGTGTTCGTAAAGATATGTGAACTTAAGATGCCACACCGTATATATGTGTGAATTGTCATTGAATTGTAACTATAAAAACAATCACTTGTGGTGCACTGTTTCTGAGTCATATGGGTTTCATTATAACCATTATGCATGATATACCTATTCTACTACTCACACATGTAAATACTACAGTCATGGCATCACAGGTTAATTGTAGCAATATGAAAGAATCAGGTGGTCCTTAACTCTTTTCGGGGGCACGGGTGGCCCACTCGTCTAAGGCGCCGCGATTCGTGGTGCAGAGTTGCGTCCCTTGGGCACGCCAGAAACCTATGATTGTGGGTTCGAATCCCGGTTCGCCCCGATTATGTTTCTAGGTTTGTCAGCACCAAACCCGTGCTTGTGGATTTCACCGAAGTGGTAACGTCTGAGACCTGCATCACTTCAGGCTTTCCTCCCACATTAAGCTGTCAAGCCGCGATATAACTGAAATACTGTTAAAAGCGGCGTTAAACCCAACTCATTCACTCACTCACTTAACTCTTTTCAGTAGTATATATCCTTTGCCTGAAATACCACCATGCGAATTACAACCCAGCAGTCTGACCCTGGCCTAATCAGCCAATTATTTGGCAAACATTTGATACTGTTTCGGCTCCTATTCGCGTGTACCTTCTCTCTCCGAACACCTCAACATGGCTTCATTTCCGTAATGGTTATATGTCCTGAAAGTGACACACGATTTCTCTAAATGGCTGATCAAGTATCGACCTTACACACATTAATGCGATTAAGGGACATGGGCTCTCCAATTGATTCAAGACACCATCGCACATGATTGGATTTACCCTAGGAATCCATAAAGTTTCATTTGACATACCCCTTGTCCACGATACTCCAGATTAAAGTGATAATCGATATGAAAGTAACCAAAAGGAAACTATACCAATGAAGTATCAAACTTTAGTTTCCAAGTTATGGATTCAGCCGAGAGTTGATAGACAAGAGACGCGAGTGTCTCAAAGAAAAAGCACGTGGTCGATATAGCATGTGAGTGAGTGTGGCAATATTCCAGTTAAATCATGCCGGGGGACATCAGAAATGGGCTTTACACATTGTACCCATATGTGGGGAATCGAACCTGGAACTTCGGTGTGACCCCACCGCCCAACATGGTCAAAGGAGCATACTCAGTCAGTTTGTTTCATCCATTTGTTTCTTTGCAATGACAACATCTAAGAGCAGCTATTGTTCGCAAATACCTGGTATCATCACTTTTGGATAGTGATTCGAAAACACATAATGTTGATGTTGGGAATCGAACAACGGACTCTTCTTTCAGCTTTCTTATGATAATGGAAAGGGTTTTGTTGCTTCTAGCTAAAAAATGTAAAACAATAATTTTTTGTAGTTCGCCTGTTTATTTAGTTAATAGTAGAAAATGTCAACATAGACAGTCCCTTTCATTTATATTCAAATATTATTTCAGTGCAAATATCGAGGACTTGATAATGTAAAAGGAAAAGAAGTTCGCAGAGCCAAAAGTGCATTTGAGAATATTTTAGAGCACGGCATTGGTCGAGTATGCCGCCATTGGTCGAGTATGCCGTTCTCGCTTATGTCAAGTATTAACCAAATGTTTATATTCTTGGAACACAATGGCTGGGTAATGGACATAAATAGTTTGTTATTTTAATATGGCTCCCGTGTCGACAATCTTGAAATTAAACCTCAAACAAATCTGTGTGTAAGCATTTTTGTGAACAAGCATATATAGTTTCACTTCTTTGGTACCGTGGTTTTTGAGGTGATGGTGTTTACATTGCAGAGAAATGCATTTGTGAGAATTTCAGTGCATGTACCAAACGCAAAGGTAAAAACTTATAAATACGCAAAATCACATACACAATGTGTTGAGTATCAACTAAACATATATGTGCATCACATTTCACATACTTTGAATAAAAAGACTGAATGTTGGCCATGAATTGTCTTTAAAACGTGACTTTGTCAGGTGAGCTAAATATTTTGTTATTTATCCGCAATATTAGCAAGGTTTCATGGCCCGCAAAATTACATGCGATTTGTGAATGTATGCAAATATATATTACCCCTAGCATAGATGACGCAAAACAACCAAAGCACGTTAAAAGGAGGTCCATTTTGTTACCTTGTTTGGCGCTCGGCATTAAGGGGCTAAAACAAGGACTGGTCTGCTCGGAGTCAGTATACTGTGTCTGAGTGGGGTATTCACATTAAACTGCGGCATGGTATCTCATTGGGCTAGCACTATAAAATCGGCATAAGTCTGGACTAGTACAAGCAGCCACACATACACACACGTGCATGTACATCGCTATATAAGTGCAATAATGTTGGACGCGACCTTAAAACCCATTTCACCTCACCTCACAATATGTGTGCTGGATGATTGTGACCTGTGAAGATCAAGGTAAGAATAGGTCTCCAGCAACCCAGGCGACCATGCTTGTCGTAAAAGGCGACTAACGGGATCGGGTGGTCAGGCTGGCTGACTTGGTTGATACATGTCATAGGTCCCAATTGCGTAGATCGTTGCTCATGTTATTAATCACTGGATTGTCTGGTCCAGACTCGATTATTTACAGACCGCCGTCATGTAGCTGGAATATTGCTGAGTGCGTCGTTAAACAACAAACCAGCCAACCAACCAGCCTGGATGATTGTATGACATCGTACTCCGGTACGCCTGATGTCAGTCAGTGGTCAGTCCAGAACCGTGTATTATACTTGCCGCCAAGTCATATACACGCTCCTGTAATTTTGCTGACAGCCGAGTAAAACCGTCTATTTAAACTGTTAAGGATGTCTATACTGTAAATACATGTTCTTACTGTTTGATAAACAAAATATGAAATGAATAAATATATTGAAGAACAAAGGTGACAGTAGCATACAATATTCTTCACACTTTGATAGCCCTACATTATGAAATATATGTTTAAGGCATAGACATGTTAAATTCCCAACTATCGAGGGAAGTGTTCGTGCGGTTAATGCATGAATGTGACAAAACAATAGTGTTCATGAAATCAGAATAAAATAGTTCCAGAATTTATTTCAACAATATCGCAGTCAAATCTTTGTAAAGCATATAGAAACTCAACATTGTTATAGCATAAATAGAATATTATTTTCGGGCATGTCGTTACTGTAGCCTCACGTGTCACTATGGATGCTTGTGTTCACTTCGTTTTGACAATTACATTCACGTCCCAGATACATCTGAACTGGTAAACCACAGTGCCCATTCCTGATGGTTAACCTGACATCATGCTGCTTCCTGTTCACATGGACCTCCATCAAGTAGCACATACTTTCTCTTTCTGGCTCTCGATCCTTTTCTTTCCGTTCTTTTCGTACAATAAACTCGTCGGACTCGCTGTTACTTGGTCTACGCCGGGAGCACCTGTTGAAGGCCATCAACAAACCAGTTCTGAATTTCGGGCTCATCCAGATGTAAATTATTGGATTATAACAACTGTTACTCATTGCAAGCCAGTGACACAGCAACCAAATGATAGGCATATATGGGTGATCGTATATGAGAAAGTCATGGTCACCAAGAATGGTTATCACATGTATTGGGAGCCAGCAGAGAGCGTAGAACACTACGACGGTAATCATCATCCTTATCATCTGCAACAAAGAAAAAGAAGTGTTTTTAACAATGCTGAAGAAAATACCATGTTGGAGCATACAAGTTGCTATCGATATACAATAGGAAGCGCCGCGAGAACATAAACGATTCTTACGAGGATTTAAAGAGATATCTCGGATTGTATGCTTCTCTGATTCTCTTTGGAAACTGTAATATCACTGATAACAAAAAGTCTTTTCAGCACAATTCCTCTTTGATGTTTCCTTTACAATTTTAAGAAAAATGGTTCATTCTTTATTATTAGTGCTACATATCCCACCAAATTATCAGCTCTCTGAACCTCTTGGTTTCTGAACAGACGATCATTGTGTCTCAACACTTCCCACAACTGAGAAAAATGTTTTCCTGTTTCAACAAGCATACGTCCATTCATTTTTAAAAGTAATCACACAGTCCGGTAATCTGAAACATGATTTTGGTACTTAGCAGCACCACGTGATTTAGACTGGTTCAGACAATATTCCAGCTATCTCATGATGTCAATCACTGTCAATCTGAGTGCGGCGTTAAACAACAAACAAAACAAACAAAAACAACATTATCATGATTGAATCACATTACGGGCATGTACATTTAGGATGAATACATCTAAATCTGGTGGTGCTGCTAAATACCAAAAGCATGTTTCAGATTACAAGACTTTGTGATTACTTTTTAAAATGATTTTATATTTTCGTGTTCTATTCTTTTGAAACAAAATTAACGCAATGGCCAGATCCTAATAGGATCCTAGTCATTATCATAAAGTTATCGGACGAATAGACGACGGAGAAACTGGCGACAGGCAATGATGCCATAATCTCACTTGGATCCGATCAGCTAGATTCATAAATGCCTTGAGAAAGACAGCCAAAAGAACTGATGAAATAGGATAGGCACTTTTCACCAATAAGGGTTGCTCAGACTGAAGTATCACCAATGAGTGATGCTATGGCGAAAACGGAAAACGAGATCTTTGCATTTTCAGAGTGCGAGTAACATGTCTAATGAAGACATGTTTGATGTCAAGTTTGTTGTCAAGCAAAACAAATTCCATGAAATAATATTTAAAATCTTGGCACAGTCTCCTACAATGTATCCTTCAAAGCGCGTGTTAACTGCATACACGTATATATCACATGTACTTTGCAGTACATAGCAAATTGTAAGATATATCATATATATTATATATCATATGCAGCTGTTCACATATGTATGTTGGTTATTAATGTCTAGTCGCAAACGTATTTAGATACAGGATACCCGTCGATATTCCATTACACTCAAATGATGCTTCAGTCTTGGCAAGCGCGTCTGCCAGCATGCATACGGATTACTTTCTTTAGGTGAAATTAATTACAGTAAACTACGGTTATAACGAACTCAAAGGGACCACTAATTTTAGTTCGTTATAACCGTAGTTCGTTATAAGCATATATATACAGCATATATACAGCCAATGGCCAGAACTAAAAAATAAGTTCGTTATATCCGTCAGTTCGTTATAAGCGTGTTCGTTATAAACGTAGTTTACTGTACTTTCGTTGGTATAACTGATACGTAGCTAGAATGAAAAAGTAGCTTAATTGGTCTTTGCCTCTGGTAATGTAAGAAAATGTTTATATGTTATAATAAATAATAAGAGACATAATAAATATAATAAATAATAAGAAGAAATAATCTTTTACTCGGAACGTTTGTCTCACCTGTCATCATCATGAACTAATGAATTTATAAGATGTCAGAGTTAATTCCAGTATAGGAATGAACGTTGTTCTAGGAATTATCTATCGTAAGATTTACACATGTATATTGTTACTATGTAACTACGGTATCATCTCTTGCAAGATAGATTGGAATCACGTAACTTTGGTTTTCAGACAGTTTAACCCTCATTAATTTAAAAACATGCTCTTTTCACACTAACATATGGTCTGTCAGATAAAGTAATTTGCAAAATAGATGCATGTATCAAATCGGATTAACAAGTAAAATCATGAAGGATGTTATACACATTAGCATTCGACATTAGTTATCTTCACTCAAGCGTGAATGTATATAACACATCGAGAAAATCTACGAATCATATTATTTTTTCAAATTATTCATGAAGCATTTAAAGAAGACAACGACACCAGCCTGTTAGAATCGAACTAGATACAGGATCACTTTAAATGGTTATCAAAATGGACCGTCATATGTTCAGAAAAGTCAAACGGATGGTTTTTATATAGGCTTGTTGAAATCGAATTACTACATGGCACTACATGTCAGAAATAACTAGAATTATTCCAAAGGTTAAAGATGTTCGTGTTTCCACGCAAAACTAAATTTCATTTTCAACTCAGCTGTACATCATCTCCGCGGCTTTCATCCTCTCCTGTAAAAATCAATTTATTTCGCCACTTAGTAAATCACCATTACACGATTGGTACACGTTCAATGTTTTCAGGTGTTTTGGAACCTATACTGTTCTAAAAGCAATCGCCATCTGCGTGTGCGGCTTTTGTAAAATGAACTCATTCACAGTTTTGCCCACTGGTACAATTATCGTCCCTGCGAAATGTCCCAAAGACGTCAGTAACTCATCCATTAATGTCCCACACCTAATCTCCGCCGTGAAAGGGATTACATGCTTGAAAATAACAACCGTCCTTCCCTGCTGCACCTGCACACATTTCTGACCAATTGTTCAAAATGTCAGAGTAAGCTGTTTGTGTGTAATCGTCAAGCTAGGCTTTTTGTGAATAACTCACACCCACTGTCCTGATATATACTGAACAGCATTAAAAACGCACCACCGTGAAAATGGTTGTATTTTTATCCGGGCTTAAGTCATATGAAAATAAAATAATATATGAGTGAATGAGAAATATATACGACGTCCTGGACGAAGCATGAAGAAGAACAGCTCGTCAAAACACATTCCTAATTTTTTTGTGAGCGAAATCGCCAAAACGCAACAAATTGCGTGCACATGATGGAAAACGTGTTTTGTCTCACCGGATCATGCAGAATAGGGCTATAAAAGACAGACTTTTAAAAGCCACATCACTTGTTGCTGCAGACGTAAAGGGTACTGACACAAGAAATGCCAAGATTAACAGCAGAGGAACGTGAACGTGTCTTGGGCATGCTTCAAGTTGGTACGTCAAGTAGAGTCGTTGCACAACGGTTTCAATGCCATCATTCAACAGTCTTCAGGCTACTGAGCAGATACCAGCAGACATGACCCCCAGAGATCGACCACGGCCGGGTCAACGTCGTGTAACTACACCACGTCAGGATCGCCATATTGTTCATGGTGTCATGGTGTGGGGCGTCATCAGTCATAACCATCGAACAGAGCTCCATGTTTGTCGTGGAAGAGTTAATGCCCTTTACTACAGGAATAACATATTGGCAAATCACGTCATCCCATTCTTTCATCAGCGCCAGGATATGCACACCTTCCAGCAAGATAATGCAAGAGCGCACACAGCACGTGTTTCAACACAGTACCTAGCGAACAATAATGTGCCTCTGCTTCCATGGCCAGCCCTGTCACCCGATCTATCGCCAATTGAACATCTATGGGATTACCTGGGTCAACGCCTCTCACGTTGTCCGCAAGTACAGAACCTGAGAGAACTTGAAGATACACTACGTCAAGAGTGGAATGCCCCAGAACACTATTCGCAGACTTATTCGATCAATGAGAAGACGTTACATGGCCTGTGTTGCTGTCAATGGTGGACATACCAGATATTGACTTTTCATTTTAACCCTATGTGTCTTACACTGATGACGTAATTGTAATTACTGTGTGGTATTCCTGTTTCCTTTATCGTCTTTCTAAATAATCCGTCTATGTCTGTTCTAATCAAAATTGGTCATTGCTCAAGTTGTTTTTGTAATATTTCAAGATTTATTGCTGGTGCGTTTTCAATACTGATCAGTATATATTGTGTCTTTGATAGCAACAAATACAACTTAATAAGTATATAATAATGAAAGGTAAATCGGTTATTCGGTTACGAAATTTCGATGTTATAAGCATATTTACATATTGTTTCTAATCGCAACAAAATTATATTTACTGATGCCAGCGACTGATTTTAAGTTAAACCGAATAAGAAAACAACAGACCTCTTAGCATTATAGCATCCGAAATGTCCATTGTACGACTATATCATAAACATGTGTTTATTAATCACTACCAAATAGTGATGAAACCAGGTGTTTGCGAACAGGTGAGCGTATCCTGGTCCACCGGTGGGACAGGTCACAAAACACATGCAAAGGCAAGTTAATAGTTCACCTGAAAAAAACATAGGAATATATAGTACAAATCGAGGTAGGAATTGTATCGGACATCACTTTTATCGCTGATGCATCACATTTGGAAATGTCCTCAACGTGTCTACCATAAAACCTTTTGAAAGCTCTTCTGAGGCCTTGAATGTTGTAACCCTGATCAAACCATTTTTAAGCAAGAGTCGTGAGACGCTCTTTATAATCTAGACGAAATGGACATGAGATTGTCCAGTCATTACATGCGATCTTCCATCTGTACTTTACGAAAGAAATGTAACAAATAAGCAGTCACATCAGGGCCTCTGATTTGATCAGGGCCACCAGTGTTTCTTAGCACCATACAGAAAAGAGGATTATTTTAGCTCGTTGGAGGCAAATAATGTGATGATTCTTCTCGGGTCACTTGACTGTTTGAGGCCGTTCGTTTGCAATTTTTTAAAAAGTGGATGTAAGTGACAATTGACATATTACTGTTTGGTCTCTTTCAATATAATCCTAGAAGTCATCCCTAGACCAATTACAATGTCTAGTCACTTCGACCTGGCTTGTGTTTCTGGCATATAAGGGCCTTAAGTGAATGCACATGAATAAAACATGCCTCTGTCACTTTTCTGGCCTCTTTAAGTAGCTGAATGATTGAACATCAATGCTGTCCTCAATTTCGTGGTGTGGAAATACAAAGAAACGAAACTCTTTGACTGAT